TGGCCCAAAGTTAAAAACTGTTGTTCTTTTGAGGCCCTCAAGGTGGCGCTGTGGCCCATAGGTTAAGAATCTCTGGTCTTATAAAGGACTGCAGGTCTCAGGTTTCTCTTGGCTTTAAAAGACACTTCATTTTATGTTTTTAGTTCCTGATTTGCTGCTTTTCCCTGTTTCTCTGTGGAGGGAACATGGGCTGAGCAGATGTGAGATGATGTGAAGCTCAGTTTCCTTTTTTATCTGTCAGTGACCAGAACTGTTGTTCAGTGAGACAAACTGCACTGTGTTCWACTAAAATATGAGTTTATGAATCAAGAACTGACAGACGAGACAATCAACACCAAGCCAGAGCTGAACACTGAGAGGAAACAAAGTCTGTGCATAAACAGTGATGAACAGAAAGAGCACTGCATTCACCAAATAAAAACAAATTAGACTTATTGTCTCATAATTACAAGACAAGATGTCYTAATGATGAGAACATTTAAAGAGTCWTAGCTGATCTACACTACAGGAACAGTGAACAATGACTGCACTATCACATTTTAAATGTTCTTATTTCCTCTTTTAAACACAGGGACATACTGGGTTTATTTCATGTAGATGGTGTTTTGTATTTTTTATTTTTATTACTGTTATTGAACCAGGCAGGTTCTGTTGAGATCTCTCTGAAGGAAACCTGYTCTACATGTTTTTAGAGGCGGGGGAAACCAGTGTACCTGGAGGAAACCCATCAAACACGAGGACAACTCCACCCAGAAAGACCCCAGGTCCAAACCAGGGACTGAACCCAGGACCTTCTTGCTGTGAGGCAKCKGTGCTAACCACTGAGCCACCGTGTTGTTTCTATTGGTTTGTTAATAAATCCACCTGCACACCAGTCTACAGGAGTTCTGTTTAGTTCAGCTCTGTCAGAAACATTACACTGAACTGACACACAACTTCCTTAACCACAGTGGTACTTCTGCTTTCAGCAACTGCAGATTTATTTACTATTATATATTTATTTACTATTATATATTTATATACTATTATATATTTATATACTACATTTAAACATTTAGGATCAAAGAAACTTTAAATATCTGTTGACTTGTTTCTGCCTGGGTCAGTTGTGCTCCTTTAAGTAGTTAGCCTATGATAACAATGCTATCACTAACGCTAACAACAAGTTAACTCCTGTTTTTTCTATCTGCTTGGATCTACTTGTAAATAATTTATTTAGCTTCTGTAAACCCAAACTCCAGTAAGTATCCAGGAAAACATCTGACGATATGATTTAAACGATACGACTCTGACCTGGTAGAAAGTGGTCACTGCAAACTGTTGTTCATTTCTGTTCCTCCCGTTTTTAGCCGTAGTTGATCCACATTTGTTCTATTTTTTCTGCAAGTTTTTAAAATTTAACTCCCTTGTGACACACTACTTTTGGAACATGAAAAATTTAAATAAAATAATAAATAAACTTTGATATTTCTCCTGATTAGAGCGGCTGAAACAACTGTACAAGGCACAGAATTTAGACATTTTGRCCCTGAATCAACAGAAGGAAACATGGCTTCATTTACTTCCTGTCCCATCTGCATTTCATGACATGGACACTACATCATCTGTAACCAGTAATTTGAACCAGTGTAAACTTTTTAAATAAGAAAGTCCCTGAACACATCTGATAACATGAGGACAGAAAGCTTCATGCTCCTGAAAACACACCTTGTCCTTCAGAAGGCTGAGTCTCTGCTTCAGTTCAGCAGCTTCTGTTTTCAGTTCAGAGCTCTGCTTTTCAAAGCTGCAGCACCTCTTGGTGCTGCTCTCAAGCTGCAGAGAGAAAACAAAGTTGAACAGTAATCTAACTGCATGCTGTGAGAAATGACAGCTTGGGTTCTTACACTGTGCTCGGTGTGCAGCAGCTTGTCACACAACTCTTTGTTGTGAAGCTCCTTCTCACTCAGAGCTTCTCTCAGGCTGCTGATCAGCTCCAGCTTCTCTGAGGTCCTGCTCAGCAGGTTCTCCTTCTCCAGCAGGGAGCTCTGCAGGACCTCCTGTGTGTCGCTCAGCCTACAGGAGAGGACACAATAAACCATCAGYATGAATTTAATAAGGGCCGTGGATGCTCTGATCAAAGACAGGAAGTATTTCAACATGTCAGACTCTCAGCTTACCCTCTGAGCTGCTCGTTCAGGCTGCTGACCTGCAGCTGATGCTTCTCAGCATCTCTGCTCTGCTGACTCCTGACGCTGGCCAGCTGACTCTGCAGCTTCTCTGTTTCACTCTGCAGCGTGGACGAAGAGACATCAGAAACATCCAGTTAATACAGAAACAAACATTTCACTTCATACAGGTATGGGATCAATCTGGTGCCAACAGGAAGTGAATKTGAAATGCTCAGATTGAATCTGAAGAATTCACATTCAGTTCCTGTTGGCACCAGATTTATCTCATATAAAGGGACACATGCTGAGTAGAAAACATTCAAAGCCTTGACTGATTTCTAATGTCRGTCCTTACTAAAGAAAACTGCACAGCAACCAAACACAGAGGACTACAGACTCATCAGAGACACGTTTACACTTCATTCTGTAAAAYACACTAAAGATGAGTACCAGTACATTTATTACTGAAGACGTTTTTATTATGGAGATAAATTAGTGGAAACAAGTTTTATCTGTACAATAAAATCTGCAGCGGYGCCCCCTACCTGTGGACAGCATGGTGGGGGTCCAGCATGCTGTCAGTTGTGTGTATGGGCTAAATGTAGAAAGAATAAAGGCAACAACTGGTAAAACTGTAAAAATGACTACTTCTGTTGTCTTCATTAAGAAGATAAATGATCATTTATTATCCTAAATAAGGTAAAACTCAAGTTATCGTGTCAGACAGTTTGTTTTGTTTTATCAGTGATTATATTGTGAGTTTGAACTTTTCTGCATCTGTTTCAGAAAACGTTTCCCAGCATCCTCAAACACAACCCTGTCAGAGCAGCGCCCCCTGTGGGTCAGAGTTTCAAAGCACAGGAAGTGAAAACAATCGAAASAATAAAAATCACACCTGCAGTGCTTTGCTTTAGTTATTATTATTTTTACATGAATACCAGTTGATCCACAGTTTCTGTGTRGATTTACAGCTTCAGTGGTAGAAGTTAGCTGATTTCATCACATGTGCTGGTGGAAAGTCTGCAGTCAAACTCTGTGCTTTAAGCTTTTTTAATAAAAACCATGTGGGGTTAAACAAGCACTGCACAACATTTGTCAGCACCGCCAGAGACGCTCTCCAGCGCACACACAGTCCAGGCCCGACCCGACCCAACACACCTGACAGGCCCAACATGGCTGCTCATCTTCATCTACATCAAACGTCACCTGGGTTAGAGGGGTGCACGGGGAAACATGCAGGTTTTATCTTCACTACGTTAAGGTGTGCTTCAGGAACAGGTGAGCCTACAGGTACAACACAGAGCTCCACCTGGGCTCACCTGTAACGCTTCGATCCGGGCCTGCAGCTGGACTCGGTCCTCCAGGTCCTGACATCGCTCCTCCAGACTCAGGATCTGCTCCTGCAGCTGGTTTCTCTCCAGCTCCAGCTCGTCCACGACGGACCGCAGCCCACCTTCAATCATCAGGTGAGGGAATGAGACGCACACACACAGAACTAAACATTCATTTAACACTTTGTTTCCTCAGACTGAGAGGATCAACTCCACTCTGAGCTTTAACAGGTTAATAACAGCAGAGACAGTGAGAAAAATAAAGATCTGTCAGTTTGAAAGTTAAAACCTCTTCTGACTTTTTATTCATTTACTTTCATTAGAATAAAGTCTGGTTTTGTTTTATGAAAAGAAGCTGTTAAACATATTAAAGGAGTGCACAAAGCTCAGCTTTCTTCTTGTTAGGATCTGATTTAGTGGTTTATATAAGGAAATGTTCCTCATCTCATTTCATGCTTTTACACTCACTAACACTAATCCAACAAATAAACTTACAGAAAATAAAAAACTAAACAAATAAAAACTCTTCAGTGTTTCTCAGGAGCTAAATATGAATCATGCTGCTCAGTTAGCGGTGCCAGCCTATCATTAATCAGATCAATAGCTGGTTATGAACAGATATAACCTCCTGCTACAAGGATGGAACTGCTGGCTGCACAGTAATCTTAATTTTGGCCCTCATAATGCACCACAGTCTTTCAGATGGAAATGTAGCACAAAGAAATAAAAAAGAGAAGAAGTGAGGAAAATAAAGAGCAGCTCATGCAAACTGTTAAACTTACCCCTCCCTGCTGACATGTTTCCACCAACACTTAAACAATCTGACAAACTCAGAGAACAAACACCAGCCAGCTCAACCAGCATGCACGCATCAAGCTAAAATAAATTTTAACTCTTCAAACTGTAGCTTTTCCTCATGTTATAAAAAATACAGGACTTAACAACACAAACTGCTTGTTGTCAATTAAAAATAACACTAAAAACACAAAAACAATGAGCCAAACTAGATGACGGGAGCTAAAAACAGGCAACAGTCCAACATGGAGTCATGGAGAACAAAAAACCCAAAGAGAACTGAAGCTGTCCACAACATGTGAGGATGAGCGAGCACATGCTGGTGAGACGGTCAGCGGCTCTCACACCTGGGTCAGGAGTACTGTACTCGGGCCACCAACCTCCCATGTTCTCTCCCTCCATCGGGGTGGTGCTCTCTGACATGCTCCGGGGGTCCGAGAAGGGGGCCTGGGCATCGAACTCAAAATCCTCCTGCAACATAGAAACATACTCAACACAGCTCTGCTGGAGAAAAGCTTTGAAAATCTACGTTTTTTATGTGTCAAATACTTTAGAGCTGTTCAAACACAAGCTTTTTCCTTAATGTGACGTGTTTATAATATATATATATATATATAACAACATCCTGACA